TTAAATTCCAGTGAAATATATTTATGTTTGTGGTTGTAATGTGACAAAATATGGAAAAGTTCAAGGGGTATGAATACTTTTGCAAACCACTGTAGAGAGTGAGGTTTGTTTGTCTGAATGCCTGTGATTCAGCCGTAGGCTAGCAGAGGGCGAACTCAGGCATTGAAGATACTGGAATGTATAAAACAGGTGACTTCCTGTTTCTGAGTCAGTGTGGTTTCGCTTGTCAGTCTGGTGGCAAATAAACCTCACTCCAGAATTCTGGTGTTGTATGACATTATTTCTTATCACAGATCATTTTATTTAACACTTGTGTTTTCATCTGATTCCAGCCGATATTAAAACACGTATTTCTTACACCCCGATTTGAGGAACAGGTCCATTGGATTCCTCTTGGTCCATCCCATCCCAACATTCATTGCGTGCTAATAGTGAGATATTTTTGCTTGTAATGGCAGATGAAGTGAGAGAACAGAATGGTTTTAAATGAAAATCTGTCAGTGTAAAAACTGAAAATTTAAAGCAGTTGTGTTGTTTGGCTTTTGTCATTTGCATAGACATGTTTTTTAATATTATCCTTGTCAGAAATCAAACAGGCTCATATAGTGAAATAAATGAGCGTGTACAGCAGGTCCCTTAGTTCAGGTATTGCCGCTAAACTTATTTTGTTAATTTATAATAATAATAATATTTTACTCATTTCAATCTATTTTCAGCCTTCATTGCTTCTGTTTAGCATAGTCACAGTTGCTAGTAGGGGTATAAGTACCTGGGTGTTCACCTGAACAATAAACTGGACTGGACTCACAAGACAGACGTTTTCTACTGGAAGGGTCAGAGCAGACTCTACCTGCTGAGGAGGCTGAGGTCTTTTGGAGTGCAGGGAGCGCTCCTGAAGACATTTTATGACTGTGGTGGCATCAGCCATCTTTTACGGGGTGGTTAGCTGGAGCAGCAGCTTATCTGCAGCTGAGAGGAAGCGGTTAGATAAGCTCATCAGGAAGTCCAGCTCTGAGCTGGGATGCCCCCTCGACACAGTGCATGTGGTGGGAGACAGAAGAACTCTGACTAAAATAACATCATTGATGAACAACGTCTCCCACCCCATGCATGAAGCTGTGGCTGATCTGCAGAGCTCCTTCAGTGACAGACTGCTGCATCCGAGGTGCACAAAGGAGCGTTATCACAGATCCTTCCTCCCATCAGCTGTTAGACTCTATAAACAGCACCACGCCCAAAAATCACAATAAGTGTTTACAAATTCACAAGTGTTAACAAAAATCACAATAAGTGTTTACACACCTGCTGCTGCACAATCATTTGTACTGTTACTATTCATTGTCATTACTCAACTGAACAATCATTTGCACTACTCTGCTGTAATTGCACATCTGTGTTTCTTGTCTGCATTGTGATATTTCACTTTACAGTAATTGGTCTGTTGAGATTGTTTTGCACTGAATACAGGCAATTTCTGATTCCTAATGTCGGATTCTGATAGTCTACTGTCTCTAAAACAAAACATATCGTTTTCTATTCTTGCACAATACTTTATTTTATATTTTTATTAGTAGTAGTGGTATCATGGCTAGTCAGAATTATTTTTTGTTTTTTGTGTACTATCTATAGTTTGTAAAGTAACTAGTGTGTGAACCTCTGTACTGATGCTGCTGTGACACATGAATTTTCCCCTCGGCGGGACAATAAAGGCTATTTCTATTCTATCTATTCTAAATCACCAGCTTTATCACAATACATTATTACATCGATATGTTAGGATGATGATTCGTTATTTCTCGAAAACACAAAATCTGTCACAATATGATTTTGATTCAATTTACGTCTGCAATCGATATAATGTGATATCATATGCCCATCTAACACAATGACTGTTAGATGGGCATATGATATCGATTCCCATCGAGCATGTGATGATGATATAGATCGATATTTTCATTTTGCCTCGATATAACTGAATCATGAACCATTCAAATCGATATAGATCGATGTATCGTTACACCTCTAGTTGCTAGGTGACATAAAATACGCAGGGTAAGGGTGGGAATAAAGCTGAAGGCTACATCATGCAAATTCACATCCACTTTCTTCCCGTCATTGCAGTCGACAAAGTACCCGGCCCACCTAGACCAGGTAGGGCCAGGTACTTCATGGGATGCTGCCCCTGAATTTGAACACAGCCAATGTTAGTCAAATAAAAGTGTCTGTAACTCAGATACTGAGAGAAGTCTGAGGTGATCGTAGCTCACAACACTTTAACCGTGATATATTACAGGATTTTATGATACTACACATACAGTGGGGAAAATAAGTATTTAGTCAGTCACCAATTGTGCAAGTTCTCCCACTTAAAAAGATGAGAGAGGCATGTAATTGACATCATAGGTAGACCTCAACTATGAGAGACAAAATGTGAAAAAAATTTTGAGAAAATCATTTTGTCTGACTTTTAAAGAATTTTTTTGCAAATAATGGTGGAAAATAAGTATTTGGTCAAAAACAAAAGTTAATCGCAATACTTTGTTGTATATCCTTTGTTGGCAATGACAGAGTTCAAACGTTTTCTGTAAGTCTTCACAAGGTTGGCACACACTGTTGCTGGTATGTTGGCCCATTCCTCCATGCAGATCTCCTCTAGAGCAGTGATGTTTTGGGGCTGTCGGCGGGCAACA